GCTCTTCCGTCCCTCCGCGAACAATGCATTCTTGCATAATTCACGCACGGGAACGCGTGTTCGTCGCCATTGGAAATTCGATCGACGCTCCGAGCGACCGGCGAAATCCAAATTTGGTCATTCCACTTGGAGCTGGTCGCGCCGATGTTCGTCGCTTATCCGCCGATTCGTCATCCGTCTTTCACGATCGCCACGCGCTCTGTAATTTTCAGCACGTGATTCCGAGCGCACGGAATGTTTCCAGGACGAGCGGAACCGGTTGCAGCGATACGATCGGTATCGGCGCGGCGCTCAGGATCGTCCGATTTATCCTTTCGTTAATCCCGCTGATCGATAATAATTACTCTCGCGCGCGTTATTATTGCACGGCCGAGTACGCGCCGCGAGGATATTAAGCGCTTAAACTGGTTCGTAAGTTTACCGATAGTCGTCCCCCGACGGTCACGGCGACGCGGATTTTTCGGGGTACGGAGCTCGGTACACGCGCGCGTGCGGATCTCACGACCTATCGGAACTCCATTTGCGAAATTAATCGCGGCGCCGAGTGGCGGGACTTAAACGCGATCATGGGAAAATTAACGAGGCAACGTTAATGAACTTTTCCCCGTTCGCCTGCACGACTCCGGATCAGCCAGCTGGTGCATTCCTTAACCCCATTACCGTTTACGTTTTTATCATCGCGACGAGGCGGTAAATAAACCGCGATGGGCCCGAGCGGGCCCCAGCCTTCGGGTATACCGGTCGATCGAAGAAATTTATCGGCTGTCCCCCCCCTCTCGGTGGACAAATTCAAAGCCGGGAGAATCAATTTACCCGGCTGTATCCGCTACGCGTTTATTTCTCGCGCGCTTCTTCCCACCCGCTTAATTGGCCTGCTCCCTGGATATAAAACCGGAGACGAGTCCCTGGCCTGCGAGCAAGACATCGCCCGTATACCCTGCAACTTTTCCGACTCGCTCCGGTCGTAGCGAAATCCTCCAACCGTGACCTCGTTTGACCTTGAGCAGTCTCGGGGCGAAACTCGACTGGCAACACGGTGCCGGACACAGCTGGTCGCAGGGCGAATTTGCATTTGCACACGAGGCTCGAGCGTTGCGGTACCACTCTGGCCGCCTCGTTCCCCTGGTTGCGTAATGGGTCCAGTTTTCGGCAGAGACGCGTTACCATCGGCGGTGTGACAGAGACATCAACCGATTTCGACGGCTTGATAAATTCTCTTCGACTCTTACGGTCGTCGAAGGTGAATACCGCATGGCGGGCAATTAAAATCGTATCTGCGGGATTCTCGATCACCTTCGCCGACTGTAATGGCGATTGGCCGGCATTAGGAGCAGGAAAAGCCATCGGTCGCGTACCAATTACTGCGTTTTGTCCGTTTCGTCGATGCCGCGCTCGGCTGTAGGAAAATCCTATGATGGAAAACGGGACGAGCGCGTAAATGGGAATGGCGGAAAGGTCGCAGCGAACGACCTCCGTTGGATTAATCCTGACACCCTATGAATCACACCGCGGCTGTGTAGCCAGCTCGAATTTAGAATGCCGACGGCGACGATGCGTCGACGAGTCATAACGCGGGGAAAAAGCCGCGTCAGGGCAAACTTTTCGCCGAGGAACGGCGGGCTGATTCATAGGATTTAGCAGCTTTGACTGAAACGCAGCCGCGGGAGAGCATTTCGCAGCTCGGACGACAAATAAATTTGTCGCGTCCGCGAATAGACGGAGAACAAGGCAGGGGCGTGGTTTCTCTTGCATAATTCCGCTGTCCCGCGTCCCACGGGACGGCGGCCGTTCAAATTGATGGCGATGCGGAGGAACGGCGACTGCCGAGGGTAGAACAAAGGGGAGAAAGTTTCCGCTTTGAGGAGCTAGTATCGGAGATAAAATCGCTTTCGGGGCCCGGTCGGGACTTATTGTTCCGACGTCTGCGTAAGTCGCGAAGGCGTCTCTCGGAAGAAGTCTCCCGGACGAGTCCTCGTCGAGGAAGTTGCGCGGCATAGCTGTTGACGAAACGTACTTATCATCGCACGTGTCATCGTACCTGCCTTTCCACGTGAGAGCCTATCTCCTTCTCGTCATCTGGGATATATTTATATACTTCTTTTCTCGATAACGTTCGGTCATTAATTTCAAACGGTGACATCTCGAGGAATCGCTGAAAAATTATTATCTTTCCGTATTCGGCTTTTCATGGAAACGCGGGTACAATTTTTTCTCGAGAATTTTCATATCGACTATCGATAGTCCTTGATCGCACGAGTTATCGATGACGAGTGCGCGCTGTTGACTCGTCGAGACGATCGAAGACGCGCGAAATTTGCGATAGCAACGAAGAATCTCGGTCACGCAAGAGAACTAATAATTTCGTATACGTAGACGATCGTATTGTTGAGACAGGGTTACCAAATTCGTGCGACGAAACGAGCTCGTTAATCTTCGAGTACGGGTCGCGAGAAGAAGTACGTGCTCCATAGCGATCGCATCTTCCTATACGTCTTGGCTCCCCTTTTTTCTCTCCAAGATCGTATCGCGTTCCCGGCGCTTCTCTATCTAGAACTCGACTCGGAAGCCCTGAAATCGAGTAGAGCATCGAGGCACGAGGTTTACTCTCGAGACACCCCGTACATCCGGTCCCCGCCTCCCGACGCGACTCGGCCCGACTCGACTCCGCTCTTGGCGGCTGGAACGCGACAAAAGGGCTAACCTATGCGGGCCTACACCTCCGCGAACGCAGGTGTATTCGAAACGATATCGTCTCGAGACAGCGTGGTGGACTCGTGGAGGGTTCAAGGCCCAAGAGTGATACCCGGGTACGCTCGGAATAATGGAAAGAAACGTCCTGGGAATTTCTCATGAAGTCAGGGACCCCGTCTTTAGGTTCATTGCCGTTCCCTCCTTCGCCTATCGTCGTCGTGTCTGCCCTCGAATCGGTCCGTTTCGGGCCCCCCGTTCCGGCTCGAGTCCTCGCGCGACTGTTCTGCCTACGATGCACGCTCGGGTTTACGATATCTCGGTTCCAATTAGGCCCCAGACGCGAACGCCTTCGATCATCGAAAACGTCCGATCGTAAATCATCCGTTTGACCGGCGATCGGTCGTGCTCGCAAATTCGAGACTGCGCGGGTACGACGCGGAATCGACCACGGCCCTGGTGTAATCGTTAGCTCTATTTACGACACCGACGCATTAGCGTTAATCCCAAGGTGTCAGAACTAATCCGCCTACCTGGTTCAACATCGCGCGAGATTGCGCGGTAAACGCGGCCCTCGCTCGATTTTTCTCACGATGCCTTATCGCGCGGAATCGCTTGCGTAATATGCCCGCCATAATGAAGCGATATACTAGCCGCGCCGCGGAGGAGCGGATATATCGAGTTACTTTCTTCTCACGGCCGCATCAATGAACGCTCCTTATCGCGAGATAAAAATCGCGGATCGATCGATCCTTCCTGCGCCTCGTCGGCCCCGTGGCGCGGGAAATTTCAAAAATTCGCGGGCTCCCGAACGGCGGACGGGGAGAGACTCGGGATGGCCGCGAACTTGGCGTCCTGGGGCCCGCGATCGATCGCAATTACGCGATCTGATCGATAGCTTCCCGTTACAGTGCATTCGGGGCACGTTATATTCAAATGCAGACATTGCGTTACGCGGCCCCGATCTCTGCTCGTCCGTAATGTGGCTTCGCGTTATGATCCGTGACCGCATTTTTCCTTAGATCCCGCCGTTCAACCCGAATTCTTTCCACGCCACGGTGAGAAGAAAAACGGAGGAGGGGCCGGGAGGGGGGATAAACGGAAAGGAAGAACCGAGAGAGATTGTCGCGAAGAGGAAGAAATCACTTTCGAAAGATCTCGCGGGAGAGCGAGGGGGGCCAATGTCGGGGCCGGAAGTAGACCGGAAATCGGGCCGTTTCGTTTCACGCGCGATTATTCTTCGACGAAATGGCCGTCGGGCCAATCGTTACGCTCCTTCTTCTTCGTCGAAGAGATTGGAACGAGACGGTGCGATTTCTCGCGTCGCACTGTCACCCGCGCGGATTTTGCCGCGCGTCGACGGGTCTCGAACGGGCGCGTTATCGCGCGAGATACCAGTGTAAATAAGTGGGTACCCTCGGTATCTGTAGATACGAAAGCACGCATGTGTCAGGAAATTACTCGAATTCGAAGGACAGACGAGCGACGTGCGTGTCAAAGACGCGTTCGTGTCGCTTTTCGTTCGACGCAGTTTGAAAATCGACAGGATGTTCGTTCACGAAATAATTGAAAGGCGGCGGATGTCGATGAATAACGCGCGGTCGACACGCGTGTCGTTCGACACCGAGAGCTCGGAGCAGACGTATCGTGAAAGTTACGACGCTTATGGTTATCCGCACGACCGCGCGCTTGCCGCGAGTTCTCTTTCCACGCTGGCTCCGACGATTTTTGGATTTCGGCATCGACTCCGATCGCTCTCTTACCTCCGGAGACACCTGGTGCCATTCGTCTCGCGTGGACCCTGATCGTCCGCGTCGCTGGATGCAAATTGCAGCGAGACGAGCACGTGGGCGCCGTTTCAAGCGCGGATGTGCATACGAACGGACGCGAAATCCGCTTTGGTCGTAAGAGGCTCTCGCCTGCCGGTCCCGGACGGGCTTCGCGTCAATGGACGCTGGACGTTTTAAGGAAAATCGATACCGCGAACGGTGAGGATTTTTCGTGGCTCGTCGAAACGATGATCGAGTGGAGGAACGGGTGGTCACGCGTTTCCTCGGAACTCGGTCGACGAGACTCGAAAGTCACCTCGCCGGATTCCACGCATCCCGTTCCGATTTCGAGAGCTCACTCTTCTTTTTTCTTCTCGGTGGCCCTGCAGGTCGGTGACGGCGGTATCATAGTGTTGGATGCCACGTTGGACGCGTCTTCGACCGACGACGCCGAGTGGGAGCTTCCCGGTGGTCCACCCTCGCCCTGCGCCGTGTCCTTCTTCAACGACAACGTGCTCATCAACGGACGTAGCAATCTCTCGAGGTCACCGAGGAATCACAAGGTAAGCTAGCCGATTTCCTTTGCATCTTGGATATCTTGGCAATTTTTTATCGAATCGAGCAAAAATCGGCAACCTGCTTAACGCTTTGACTGCCATTTTGGTCACATATGACCCGGCCTCGGTGGTCACTGGTGACCGGAGCGGTGTTATATGCTTTGAATAATAAAAATACTTCCGTGGCGACCTAAGCGAAACGTGTGATTTCGGTGTGTGGCAGTCAGAGGGTTAAAACGATCGTAGTATTGGCTGTTGCTGTTCTCCAAAATGGCGGACGATTGGAGAATATTAAGTTCGCGTCGCTCGGAATGATTTCTCGCGTGGAAAGCCGAAGGATGAAGAGTGGAAGCCTATAGAAGCGTGTATTACAAGCGGAAAAAATGGGACGTTATCGAATACACGATAAGCTAGGTGAACTTGAGAGATTTCACGAAAGCCTGGTAAACATCGTCGTTAATAGGCATTGCATTTATCGGCACATCCCATTACTTTTCCATTTCCTCTTTTTCTTTGAAAGATAAGGTGATATATAACGAGTTAACATCTCGCGATCGGCCGGAGCCACGCTATCTAATCTAATCAGCTGCAGCTCCATGGTTGGGATCACGCCGCAGGAGCTCGTTTAAGTCGAAAAGCAAACGACGTAATACCGTAACCAAGGCCCTTGGCTCGCCGTGGGAATGCGCTTTCCCTCCTGAAAGAGATTGTAAAATATTCAAGGGCGAGCTGCACCGAGTCTCTCAGTTTCTTTCCTCTTTTGGCCCCCTCTTTGCCTTCCTGCGAGTAGCTCCGTAATTTTCAGTCCTTTCAGGACGATTTTTTCCCTCGTTTCTTGTCCCAGCCCGTAAAGAAGCGGACCGAAATCACGTTACTCCCGCAGGCTCGACCCTTGGCACTCCAGAAGTGACTCTCTGGCTCTCTGACTAGCAAAATTATAAAAATTAATTACTCCTACTAAGTTTCAAATGGTATTCTTTTCCGTGTAAACAGATTTATTTGCAATCTTTTATATTAACCCTTTGCACTCGACGATTTTTTGGCTAGAGAGGAGTAGAAATTCAAAGATTCTCTACTAGAAAACTGACGATACTTTTTTGAGCAGTAAATAAAGAATTGTAGAATTATTTGATTTCGATACCTCGCACACTGTTACAATACATCAAATTTGATATATTAATTAATATCGATCTTCCAAATTTTACGAAATGGTGACTGATTCTAGGCCACAACACTATTTGAAACCCATGGGAAATGAATCCGTAGTTACAGAAGTAATAAAACTTTAATCGTAAATATCTCAAAAGCTATTGAGTAGTGGCGGGTATATATTCTTGAACTGCATGACGAAATCTACAAATCTACAAAGTTTCGATTAAATCGGTGAATCGAAGGAGTTGCACTCTCCTTGTGAGTCACCTCTCAGGTGCAAAGGGTTAATAACAGCAAACTAAGCAAATCGTATTTAATTATCGTGTTAATTAGTATACAAAAGTTAGATAATGTGTCCAGTGATATACGTCTCTCGTGTCAATACAGTTAGTGATCTATTGGGGTTATAGATCCGATTTTTATCTCTGATGGTTCGAAACGCTTCAGTCTATGACAAGTTTGCTAGGATACTTTGGTTTTCTTTTCGTTCCAGAATTTTAACGTTGGTGATGAACTGGTGATGAGTCCCACAGCCTATCTGTCATACGTTTACAGCTGTTTTAGTATTTGCAATCTGTTATATTAATAACAACAAACTAAGCAAATCGTATTTAATTATCGTGTTAATTAGTGTACAAAAGTTAGATAATGTGTCCAGTGATATACGTCTCTCGTGTCAATACAGTTAGTGATCTATTGGGGTTATAGATCCGATTTTTATCTCTGATGGTTCGAAACGCTTCAGTCTATGACAAGTTTGCTAGGATACTTTGGTTTTCTTTTCGTTCCAGAATTTTAACGTTGGTGAACTGGTGATGAGTCCCACAGCCTATCTGTCATACGTTTACAGCTGTTTTGGTATGCACTTTGATCTAGGTTCTAAGCTCCAGTGCAATTTTAGAATTATCATTAAGAAGATAATTCGATGTATCCATTCTATCGTCTTCAAAACAGAAAAGCTTCGAGTCTTCGTAGTACTAATCGTCGATTAAAGAGTCATACTCGCGGGACGCGACGTGAGCTCGTAAGCCCAATGGGACTGACTGTGGGTAGGAATGGCGCGAAGCTCACGCTGCGTTGCTTTCGATCATTTCCTAGCTGTTTCGCGTTGTATAACTGACAAGCTCGTTACAACCTGCATGCTAGGTGTAACGACTGTTCGTCACCGCGATAGCTTATCCGCGTATTCGCATTGATTCGCGAAGTAGTCGCGCCAAGACATGTCCGACTGCGTGCAATTTAGGATTCACGCGCTAAAACGTTTCCTTTTACCGTCTCATTCCCGCGCTGGTCGCCTCTGTTGCCCGTTCGGCAAGGTATCAGACGTTTTCCACGCTTCGCGATCCCATCTTTCCCCCGGTGTCTTTCGATTTTTACGCCCGGCGAGGGTTCAACGAACCACGCTCGGCTCGGCTCCGCTCCGCTCGGCGAAAACTCGCGATTAACGAGTTTCGGTGGAACTAGTATCCCTGCAGACTCGTTCTACCATAGCTCGAAAGCGGATTAAACGATACTCTCCTTTCGAACTATGGATAATCGTTCTAAATAATTAATGTGCTATAACATTGTACAGGCGCGTCATTAATTTTCACGGCCCAACTTCTCCCGGCGAGCTGCCATTAAAGATGAAATTGCTCTTGAACAATTTCCACGATCGATTCGTCTCCGGTTAATAGACTCGCGGTTACGACGTTTCGCCGAGCAGATTTTGCGTTTCGACACCACGTGAATCATCGCGAAGTTTGCAATGCCCGCAGCCGATCTCTCGCGGTCGGCTCGCGCTCCAGCCGCGACTTCTTATCGAATCGTTGGGTCCAAAATGGGCCCGTCGCCCGCGAATCGGACGTTTAACCGCTTGACTATTGTGGGCGCCTATGAGCGATTAGAAATTTTGCATTTGACACGGAGGGCGCCTAAGGAAACTTAGAAATTTTGCGTTTGTGACACGGAGAGCACCTATGGACGCTCAAAAATTTTGCATTTGTGACACAGAGGGTGCCTATAGGCGCCTAGAAATTTTGCGTTTGTGACACGGCGAGCACCTATGGACGCTTAGAAATTTTGCGTTTGTGACACGGAGGGCGCCGATGGACGCTTAGAAATTTTACGTTTGTGACACAAAGGGCGCCTATGGACGCTTAGAAATTTTACGTTTGTGACACAAAGGGCGCCTATGGGCGCTTAGAAATTTTGAGTTTGTGACACAAAGGGCGCCTATAGATACTTAGAAATTTTGAGTTTGTGACACGGAAGACGCCTATGGACGCTTAGAAATTTTGCATTTGTGACACAGAGGGTGCCTATAGGCGCTTAGAAATTTTGCGTTTGTGACACGGAGGGCGTCTAAGGAAAGTTAGAAATTTTACCTTTAAGACACGGAGGGTGCCTGAGAACACTTAGAAATTTTGCGTTTGTGACACGGAGGTGCCTATGGACGCTTAGAAATTTTGAGTTTGTGACACGGAAGGCGTCTATGGACGCTTAGAAATTTTGCGTTTGTGACACAGAGGGCGCCCATAGGCGCTCGACGTAGTTCGGCTTTTTGACACGGAGGGCGCTTGTTTTCACAAAAATGGCGTACATCGTAACTCAATTCCTGCCTCACGGTACGGTCGTTGCTTATCAAAATCTGCCGTAGTCAAGGGGTTAAACAGCTCGTTATCGAAAGCGAACGAGAGGAACGCCATCTCGATGATTTAACCTCTGCCGAGAGATCGGAGAGACTGGACGACTTTCTCACGGGCTCGAGTTTACGCGGATTCCCGTGACGATGGAACGATCAGCCTACCTGTTACCACTGTCGATTTGCAAAGTAAAAGTAGCCGACGCACGAACCGGCAACGATTTTCGAGCAGCTTCTCGGCCGACGAGTTAATCTACCGTGTTCCATGGGAACACGGCGGAACTTTGCGAATTCCTCGTCGAGAAAAATCGGAAACGTTATCTCTCCGAGGACACGATTCTTCGCCGATTTCTTGCGAGACATCGGTACAGGATCGTCAAAGGTGAAAGGACCACGACCATCTTTCTCTTTTTTCCTTATTTCGTATTCGATGAATTAACGAACCGAGCTACGTGGAGCAGCGATTTTCTGAAAATTGCTACTTACGTAACGACGTCGTGGGTTCCCGATCGATCACAGTGGATAATGACGCGGTTCATCCTCCGGTACCACGGGTAATTCGATTTCGCGTGGACTCCGCCTAGATTCGTTGTTTGTTTCAATTTCGGTATGCAATTAACGGTGTGCACAGGCAGTAACCTTTAATAAGGAGTTACGTAACGGACGATATGAAAAATCAAAACCGGTAAAAGGGGGCGATTTGCATATTCGAAAGTTCCCGCCCGGATGGGGGAGTAGGGACGCGGTGTTCCGGGGGATTCTGGAGAAAAGGCTAGGGAATATTTCGCGGTAAAAGCGGCCTAAACTATCCGCGCGCTGCCTCGTCACGCTTATTGTCCAACGATCGATCTTTCGGGCCGCGTGACGAGAAAACCGATATCTCCTGAATCGTCGATTGTTCGCCGATGCGTCGTATTTTCTTCGCCGGATTTATACCGACGTCCACCGAGCGTATCGGATCGATAGAAACTCCGGACAGGCTATTATACGGCGTCGGAATTCCATCGTGGCCGGGTGAGTTATCGGCGAATAATTCTCTGCTAGAAAACGCGGCCGTTGTTCCGCGATCGCCGATTCCCGGACCTCGTCCCTTCTTCGCGCTAATTCCTGCCGTGCAGAAATCTGCATCCTGCTCGAGAAAGGGGACCGAGATCCGTACTCGTGCTGGCGCGAGGTTGCGATTAAACGCGATCGAGAGGCGATAAAGGGACAAAGTTGCGCCAGGCTGCGG